CAAAGTCCTAGATGGGAGTCAAAAAGTTAGCTTCTGCCTGTCTCTTTCAAAGTAATCTCGGATCTAACCTTGTGGCCCTCGAATGTACGAATGCACTTGCCGCCCTTGATGGCACTGTGAGGGTGCATGCCTCGGGGAACGGTAAGCTCCCAGAGCTTGATAGTCTTGTCCAGACTGCCACTGACAAGGTCACGGCCATTGGGCGCGAATGCGACCGAGTAGACACTGTCCTTGTGGCCATCTGGGTTCTCCAGGCGCTCCACCAGGTATCCAGTTGTAGTGTCCCAAACGCGCACGCTCTTGTCCAATGAACCTGCAGCCACGTAACGGCCATCCGGAGACATAGCCACAGTAGTGACACCATCTTCGATGCTAAGAGTGTAGACAAGCTTGCCATCGAGAATATCCCAAAGGCGCACGGTCTTGTCTCCACTGCCAGAGGCGATGAATCGACCGTTGCCAGCAAAGTCCAACGAGTAGATGTCCTGCTCGTGTCCACTAAAGATGTGCTTGATGGTGCGCTGGTTGATATCCCAAACCTAAACCCCCAATCCAATTCAGTCAGCAATCTTCCCACATACCGGTGGTTCCATATAATCCGAAAACTTACGCGAATCTGCTTATCCTCAGCACCAGTCGCAAGATATTTGCCATCGGGACTGAAGCAAACGCTGCGAATGTACAGGTCGCCGTCCTTATCGACATTCTCATCCTGAAGAGTGGCCACATTCTGACCGGTAGTCACGTCGAAGATTTGAGCTGAGCGGTTGCAGCCCGTAGCCAAGTACTTGCCATCACGGCTGAAGCGCACACAGCAAACGACGCTATCGTGGTTCAAATGATGCACCAGCTCCACATCGAGGACACGCTGGACCTCGGGGTTGAACACGGCGTACCAATCGGAGCCCTCACGCTTCTGCGACGGAGGCAAATCATCGGGGTTCCAGTTTGCCAGCATGTTTCCGGGACGTTCGGCTGTGCGGCCGAGAGGGGGGTTCGGGGGAGTCGGACGAGGAATCTGAGGGGATGCACGGGGATCCGGGTAGGCGATGTGGGTTTGCTGAGGGGTACCAGGGCCTGGGGGAACACGGCCACGGCCCTTACCAGGGCCTGGGGATGCAGTGGGGGGTGGAGGCGGCCCATAGCCTGGGAGATGAACGATCCAACGGGTCAGCGGACTGGGCGACGATTTTCATAAACACAACGACATACCGTTCACAGCAGCGCCAGCCGGATATCCTCCAAAGGAGCTCTGCTGGGGTTGCGGTGCGCCAGGCTGAGCGACCGAAGCAGGCTGTTGCAGGGGATGCTGGGGAGGCTGCTGATCCTGGGGAAGGGAAGGTGCAAGACCGGGGCCACTACCTGGTGGGTTGGTCATGATACCGCCAAACAGATTACTGGGGCCGTGGCCCAAGGCAGGTGGGGGAGCCTGGGAAGGAGCTGTATGAGCCGCAGCCGGTCCGCCGATGTGGGAAGGAATAGTTTGCACGCCACGCGACTCAAGTTCGTGTCGCAGCATCCGAATCTCAGCTTCGTAGCTAAAAGAAAAAAAAAGAAAATGCAATGTCAGAGAGGGTGATTCAAGTTTTCAAGGAGGTAACGGAAACAAACTCTTGCTTGATCTTGATTTGCGCCTGTTCCAGTTGATAGACCTTCTGACGGATCATCTCCATCTCCTGGAGTTGACCGGTCACTGCATGATCTGTCAGTTAGATAACATTTCAGCGAATGTCGGAACCCATGGAGCTGCAGTCATTGGGAAAAATGAGCTGGCAGCTACTTGTATGAAACGGTTGGACAGGGGGAGGGAGCTCGAGGCGCAAATGGCCTGAGTATAGGAGAGGGATAATAATGTGTCAAAAGGGACTGGTAACATACACTGATGCTCAAATTCACCGGTGTTTCGCGACTGGCTCTCAAACTCCTGGCGCAGTTGATCCAGCAACTCCGTCAGACGGGAGTTGGGAGCGGGAACCATCCCGCGATGAGCGTTGTACATGGTGGGATCTTTTTTTTTTTTTTCTTCTTGTTCTTCACAAGTCACAGAAAGACAAAAGCGATGTTCGGATGACAGCTCTCAGCGAATGGGATCGCAACCAAGGTTTCGACCTGGACTCAATGATCTTGATCACTGAGGCTTCAATGCTTGGTGGATAGCACCACGCAGCTAGCCACAGCGATAGTGGGCGATACAATATAAACTGGAAGATGAGAATGGGGGTGTAGCGGTAAGAGGGGTGGAAGAGGCTGGCAGATGACACTTTAAAGCGGGAAGGTTTGAGTTTGGGGGGAAGGCGGCAGTGGTTGACGCGAGAAGCGAGGTCATAGGCGAGAAGCGCAGCGGGTCTTACCGTAGACTACTAGTACTTTTGAACCTAGTACAATAATAATAATTGTGTATAACATATATGACATATATAACAGATAAATTCAAGCAGATGATATTGACACTATATACATTATAAAATGTATAAATGAAAACCAAGAGGCCGACTATGTACGTACTAGGCCTAAATACCGTACATTTGTACATGGATGGGTCCAGATCTTGAGGTTCACATAAAACCGGTATTATTTGGCTGAAGATACCCGAAATACCAGGGAATACTTGGATCTACACCCGCAAGTGCGGGCAGTGGAGGTACCTCTGAGTACGGGAAGCAGAAGTGGAACTGGCCCGTGCAGTACCAATTTAGTACTGCAATTACTGTCTGTAATGTACATTTGTTATTGCCTGATCAATCAGGCCATAATTAGCCACAGAGGATGGCGCTTCAGGCATCAAGGCATAAACTGTGGCCAACCAGGGGTTCTATTTTTTTAAGTTTTTTCTTTTTTCTTTTTTTTCTTTAGTACAACATATGTTGTAGACCACTGAGGTATGTATGTATGGAGTATGGAGTATATATATGAAGTGATTGAAAAGAGAAATATATCAAAAAAATAATCTAATATTATACTTTTATATACTCTAACAATGTCCACTCATAAGATAACTATATAATCCCGCATCAGACCATTTCCCCCCTGGATCAATTGGCTTATTAAGAAAAGGTGGCATCGCAACGGCTGTGGCGGTTCCGCGCTGGTGTGACTACTTCGTTATTCGCCGCGAATCTCCTTTTTTGTTCCTTCAAGTACTCCTCAATTCTTCCCTTTCTCCTTCCCCCCAACCCTATCTGTGCCCTCAATCATGGATATCATTCTGGAATTATGGGACACCTTCATTGGTGATCGCCTCTATTCAACACTTCTCCCCACCTCTCTCTCTTCGTCCGTTTCGCTGCCGGCCTTCGTTAATGCGGCCGCGAACACTTCAATGGCCCTTTTTGGACCGGAACCTTATGTCTATGAACAGGCTACACAGATGATCTACCTGGAACCCTCGAAATACGCATACCTGAGTGTTTGGCCCAGGAACAATGTCTACCGTCAATTTACAAGCTTTTTCCTGATTACTTGGTAAATGCGCCAATCCCTTGGGGATTTCCATATCGCCACTTTTTTCCGTGTCAGCACAAGAACTAACACTCAATTAGGCTGTTTGGTCTGCTCGTTTATTTCGTGGTCGCTACACTTTCATACATCTTTATCTGGGACAAGACAACTTACAACCACCCCAAATTCCTCAAGAACCAGATTGGTCTGGAGATCAGACAAGCCATGGCCGCAATGCCTCCAATGTCACTGTTGACAGCTCCTTTCTTCGTTCTTGAGGTCCGCGGATACGCCAAACTCTACGACACCACCGCCGAAGAGCCCTTCCCGTACTACAGCCTCATCCAAATCCCCTTCTTCATCTGCTTTACCGATTTTTTCATCTACTGGATCCACCGTGGCCTGCACCACCCCCGCGTCTACAAGACCCTGCACAAGCCTCACCACAAGTGGATCATGCCGAGCCCTTATGCCTCGCATGCCTTCCACCCGCTCGATGGCTGGTCCCAGAGTGTGCCGTACCACGTCTTCCCCTTCATCTTCCCCCTGCAGAAGTTCGCCTACGTCTTCCTGTTCGGCTTCATCAACCTCTGGACCGTCTTCATCCATGACGGCGAGTACGTTGCCAACAGCCCCATCGTGAACGGTGCTGCCTGCCACACCATGCACCACTTGTACTTCAACTACAACTACGGACAGTTCACCACTCTGTGGGATCGCCTGGGTGGCAGCTACCGCAAACCCAACGAGGAGCTTTTCCGCAGAGAGACGAAGATGGGCGACAAGGAGTGGAAGCGCCAGGCTAAGGAGATGGAGTCGATCCTCAAGGATGTCGAGGGTGAAGACGATCGCAGCTACTCCTCCGACAAGAAGAAGAATCTTTGAAACGACGACTGCATCACATTCTTCACGACTTCACAATTATTGGTTCTAGACTACAGGGATCAATCGAGACCCATCGCAGACTCCCCGATAGACGGGGCTGGGGCTGTATGTCTTGGCTTTCTTGGCCTGGATTTTGGGTTTGGACTTTTGCATCTCCCTGTCGTTTTTGGGTGCCATTTTTTTACGCTAATTCAAGTACATTAATTCGCCCTGTGCATTTCTTATCTGTTTTAATACTTCCAAAACTGACCGCCACCACTCTAGCCTGCTTGTGGTCTATCCCATTTTGTACATAATGCTCTTTTCTTCTTCCTCTTTCTTCTGTGGGCAGTCCAAATGCACTTGGTTAGGTCTTTCTGTACATCTTTCTTCTATGTGTTGCAAGCTCATGTGGTCATCTTAAGGCCGAAAATGGATGCATGTGTGTATGATACGTTCGAATCTATCAAACAAGAAATACCAAATTAGTTCAAAATAATTCATAAGAACTAATATTCAAAATCATAATCTACATTCATCTTGTGTTTCCATCAAGTACTCTTAACCCCAAACAACCAGTCACACTTTGGAAGAATGGCCGGCTGAAATCTAACAGACCAAACCACCTGGTCTTCGCGAGGCAAAGACTGCGATCGCTGCCACCCGTGGAACAAGAATGGTGGGCATCCTTGCGCTCGCTACTGGAGAGTCTGTATGATAACACCTCGCGATCCGTCAGTCGCATGAAACCCATTCTCAGCCAAATCCTGCTCCCGACTCGGCCAGACCTCCGCACTGAACTTCCCGGGTTCAGCAGAAGCAAGTCGCTTGTGAAGAGCAACCACTCGATTAGCCTGGTGAGAATCCCCACACTCCAGCACCGTGAGCTTGGCCTTCAACTTGAATGCCAGAGTGAGGATGCGGTGGTAGAAGATATCCTCAGGCATGCAGTCGTCCACCCCGGAGCTTGGGTGTGGAGGCACGAGTGCCAGCTTGGGCTCAAAGCGCCGTACACTGCGCGCAGTGGTGCCGTTGCGGAACTCCGCTTGGGATATGTAGGGCGGGTTGGAGATTAATAGATCACATCCACTCTCTTGGTCGGGTGATGAGATGTCCAGTGCTCCAATATCGGAGAATTGGGTTTTCAGTATTGACTCAAGGGACGGTACTGAATTGTCACTGTCATATCCGAGAACATCGGCGCGATGGAACTGGATGTCTGTCCCTGCGCTGGGTGCCAACTGGCCCAGTTGCAGGTTATGCTCAAGGTTCTCTCGGGCCAAGCATAAGGCCGTACGACTGATGTCCACCCCTTTTATCTCCAGCTGGAAATCAGGAGCAAGTAATGCGTGCAGAAGAAGTGGTATGCAGCCTGTGCCAGTGCAGAGGTCAATGACGCGCAAGGGTCTCGCCTGATTGGGAGACTTGGACTTGTCATTACAGCCCAGGGCCATTTGACGGACTAGATTGGCCGCTTGGTATGTATATGATTCAGTTTCTGGCCTATGAAAGGTTGTCAGCAAGAAATCCCTCTTTTAGAAATCCGATGGGCTGACCTTGGGATCAGAACGCCTCTTCGGCAGAGAATTTCCAAGTCACCGAATGGTTGATCTCCAAGAATATATTGGAGGGGATATCCTCTAGATCGCATCTGACACATAGATCTCAATCGGCTTCTCCATGCCTTTGGTCTTGAAAGAGACTCGCTATCGCGAACTGCCCGCTCCTGTAGCCAGCGAAGTTCATTGCGAGCAGAATCGACTGTGCGGCATTCTTTGAGGAGTATAGGCAAAAGATAGTTTTCCCGTTGGGCTTTTAGGATGACAGAAAACGGGATTCGGGGCATTATGGGAAATTGGAGGTCAGTCAAGGAACGTTGGTGCCAAGAGATTCCACCCGATGTTGCCAAGATATATATAATTCAATATACAACATACTAGAATGAATATGTTAAGATTGTTAAACAGAACAATAGTCTCAAGTCAAAGATATCATCTAATACAAAGTGTAGGTAACGACAGAATAACTCCACCGGTTGGAGAAGTGAGAAGTGAGAAGTGAGAAGAGGAAGGGGAAGAGGAAGGAACGAACACTAACGGTATAACCCAACCCTGAAAGTCAGAAAGATATGTACACATATGTACACTACTATACAGGAAATAAGAATTGAAAAATTCGATGCTGTCCATTTCATAACACATAAGAACTAGGCAATTGAGAGTATGACGGAAAAGAATTCTAGGGATAGCCTTCCCAGACTCCAAATACACCATAGTATGCAAGACATATACATAAGAAGAAAAGTATGTGATCAAAGGCCTTACAGAGCCAGAAGAGCTCCTACACCGGCAAGGCCGACAGCCAGGTGTTTCGGCATAGCGGTCGCCCTAGGAATGGCCATATTTCCAGTGGCCGAGGCCGAGCCGTAGAGGCTGGATCCTCCAGCCGGACCTCCGATGCGAGCGGCGGTGCCACCAACTGGTGCGGTAGTCACTGGGTTCGAGACTGCAGTCGCACCGGGGACGGAATCGGTGCCAGTCCCAATCTCCAAGATATCATTCTCGGTGGTGTTAAAGTTGGTGCTGGCGAGGGAGATCTCATTATTGGCGAGATCGTATACCACGTACGCACTGCGAAGGAACGTATCTCCCAGGACTGCCGTGCTGCTTCCCGCGGGAACAATACCGAAAATGCAGGCCCGCTTGCCGTTTCGGAAATAGAGGTCGCCAGCATCGATGATCATCTCATTGATGCCCACGTTAATCGTCGGGGATGAGAACGTGTAACTGAGGGTGATGTCCTCGTCTGCCATGCTGCATTCAACATAGCCAATGCCACTGTCCGACTCGTAAGAGACCCCGAGATCATCGTAGATCTCTTGAACAAGGGCGTCCGGAAGGTATGTAAGAGAGCTTCCCGAGTCCAGTAACACACCTGCGGGAATGGAGCTCGAAGAATAGGTATTTTCACTGGATGAATTGGTGAGGGACACCTTAGTGAGCGCAATAATGAACTCCGAGTACTGTCCGCCGACCTTCTGGACGGGGACTGTTTGCAGGGCGCCATGGTATTTCTTACTGTTGACTCCACCAAACAAGATCGAGCCGGTGTTTGCATCCAGGTCGTTCAACCAGAGACTGTAGGCATTTGATTGGATTACTCCTTTGTTGACCATCGCCTTGGGTAGGTTGGCATAAGCCGAGTCTCCATTTCTGCCAACCTGAACTTCATTCGTAGTGTATCCTATACCTAGCACACCCTCTGTACACAAACATCCATGTCAGCCTTGTGATAATTGGCGTTATATCTGACACAAACCACTCACCTGAAGAGCCAGACGAAAACCCAACGCCAAATTGGAAGTCTTTAATAGTTGTGCCTCCGATAGTAAGAGTGTCGGTCACATAGTCTCCGGCGGCGCCGGATCCATCGGCATAGCTGATATTGAAGTCCGAGTTCACAAATGAATATGAAGAGGAAGAACTCGGGTCGTAGGTACCGGCTTCGGCGCAGACGTTTTTGGTGGATGCACAGAGAGTAGAATTTGGCGTATTGGTCCACAAATCACTACTTCCAGTGTCGAGAACCAGACGTACGCTCTGTTTCGGGGTACCCAGAGTGACATTACAGAAGTATAAAGTTTCCTAGGCAGAAACATTAGTATTCCATAAGATTATGTATCTAAATATAGATTATCATGTGTACCTCATTGTCCAATGCCTGACTGACTGTCGAACGTTTCCTCCTTACTCGATCTCTAGCGACGGGATCGAGAACATCCTTTCGTTGAATATCCATTTGCACCACGGCGGGATTATCTCTTCGATGAAGGGTGATGCCCCAGACTGGCATCACCAGGCCGGTGACCAATAGGATCCATGCATTTTTCATAACGCCGATCGTCCTCCCCGAGTTCGGTCCGAAAGTGAAATATCTATTCGTGTTTTTTTGGGGGGGAGGGAGGGGGGGATTTTGGATTGGTGGGTAGCAAGTTAAAGTAAGTTGAAGAAGTTGAAGAATTCAAAGAAATTGAGAGGAATAAAGGTCAAGAAAAAGAAATAAGAAATGGGGCTGATATCTTTCTTGGAGTTACTCGGCTCCAACCGGATTTACCTGTAAGCAGCAATTTATGGATACAATACTATACTAGTAGTATTAGTATTAGTAGTACTCCGTACTATTAGTTACTATCAGTACTATTAGTACTATTAGTACTATTAGTACTCCGTACTATAAATACTATAAATACTATAATTACTAGTATGTATTATATTCTGTTGCTTGAACGGGTAACGCGGATGTCCAAGTGCTGTCGTCACCATAAAATTGTACAAGGCATCCTTCTTTACTCCGTATAAACACTAATATATCCTATACAACATAATTGAAAGTAGTCCACTAAAATCAAAAAGCCATAATCCTTATCCTTGGAAATCCTTAAGCATACGTACGCGACATACGTAGTGGAGTGATGACGCGGTGGACTCCACTTCAGCCCCCTTTAGGGTTGAATTTACACACTCTTATACTTCCTTATATATTGTACAACATACCATCGTACTATACAAATCACTCTATTATTGTACTATCGTACTATTGTACAGCCCCATATAACTCTCACTTTTGCCACTTACAGACCTATCGCATCTCGAATTTGCTGCATGGTCACCCGACTGTTGGCCCGAGCTGCTGCAGCACCCTCCTCAGCAACTGACTCCAGGTAACCAGTCTTATCCTCCATGATCGTAATATACCGATCCCGGATCTCTTGCAAATGATAGGCGATCCGGTCTGCAACATGTTCCTTGAGCGATCGAAGACTTGCATTGTGGAAGTCAGCCGCGATATCCTCGCATGATACACCTTCCAGGTGGCTTAGGATCTCAATAAGATTAGACACCCCAGGCCGACGGGTCGGATCGTAGGTGATGCTAGATTCCGAGTCTGTCAGGGCTACCTTGACTTTCTTGCGGATTTCGGCCGGCGAGTCAGTAAGGATGATCCGGGATTTCTCATCGGCGTGCGATTTGGACATCTTTGAAGTGGGTTCCTTGAGGGACATCACTCGCTTGGCAGGAGCTGGTCAAGTTAGGATCTGGTCTGTTCCTTCTGGCAACTGTTATCTTACATATCAATGCCTCTGGGATGGGGAAAATCGGCCCGTAGACGTGGTTGAAGCTGTTCGCGGTATATCTGGAAAACTCCAGGTGCTGTCTTTGGTCTTCTCCGACCGGGACATGGGTAGCTCTTGGTGATCATTAGTAAAATTAAATAAATAAATAAAACACGCGCTCATGCAGACAAGGAACATACCTGTGAACAAGGATATCGGCAGCTTGTAGTACTGGATAGGAGAAAAGACCAAGTCGCAGTTGTGCCCGTGCTGTCGAATCATCAAGGGTTGCGTCATCCGGCAGCTGTAGCTTACTCTGGACAGTGTCAATAGAATGCTCTTATATAAAAGATTACAGGGCCGCTCACCTTCCACTGTGTCATACGCGACAGGTACCCCATGGAAGCCACCGTGCTGAGAATCCACATCAACTCAGTATGCGCCGGCACCTGATTAATGTCAATATAAAGTCTCTATTGTGCTTAGCAGCTGACAGCTATAAGACAGAACCTACATCGGACTGGTAGAATATTGTAGAGCGCTTAGGATCCAGGCCCACAGCAAGCAACGTTGCAAAGGCCTCTTTTTTCCATCGCTTCAATTGGGCTGGATCTTGCGGTACTGTCAATGCATGTAGATCAACAATAGAGAAAAGTAGTTTGGTTCCTTCAGCTGCATCGTGCTGAAGCTTGACCCATTGATGTAAAGCCCCGAGATAATTGCCTAAATGAGGCACACCAGTTGGCTGGATCCCAGAAAATATAATGGGCTCTTGTGCTGGCGTGGTCTTTGAGCTGTTCCAACGATGGCATCTCTTTGGGAGAAGGGAGAGCCCGCTTGGACGGATATGGAGATATTTCGCACGCAATGTTCCCAGCGAGGCAAATTCAGGACGCATCGCGTTGGCAGACATCTCCGATAAACATTCAATCAGTGCGAGAATGGAAAAATTCAAGTGTAACCACTTCGCATTGCCGTAGTCCCCAATGACCCTGAAAAACGCGAAACGCGAAATATATCACGTGATTGGTATCGTACAATGTGTCGGCATAAAATTGTACTTGGGCATCATAGTCTACACCTATGATAGGCAAACTGCATATATTCCGTATAATATTATATTGGAGTGGTAGCACGTCTATTGGGGACTCGGTTGTGGCGAGCAACCTCCTTTTATATAATGTTCCTTTCATCCGGGCTTAAATGAGAATAGTAAAACAGTAAAATACATATGGCCTAGATCAAGAAGGCTTTTGAATATAATGAAAACATCGCCTGCAGCAAAGACACCAAGTCCAGATGTTCACGGGTATACAAGTTCAACAGTTGATCACCATTCCATCTATAGACGCTTGCGCTCTGCGAATCGCTCACTGTTCAACGTATCGAATATCGTGCCGGGAGCCGAGTTGTCCTTCCGTTGACCAAATTGCGCAAACTCGGGGCGAAGAGCTTCTTCCACCTCGGCAACAGAAGCGTCCATGGCCTTACCAGCATCTATTACACAGACAGTGATTAGTCCCTAATCATGAAAGATGCCATCCAGGCGAAAAAAGAAGAGAAAAGTGTAACCATACCGAGACTGTCGTGTTCCCAGATATTTGCCTTCATACCGACTCCATAAAACGCGTGCTTCCGGAGGAATGCAAGCCATGCCTGCACCGCTTGTGGATTTCCATCCTTGATCTGAATCAGTCGACGGAGAGTGATTCGTTCGAAGTTCTCCTGGCTCTTCTTGTGCACGAAGTTGCTTCGGGGTACGGTCCAGCGTTCAACAATGCGGGGGAGAGGCACAGGTCCGGACACCGGAAGATTGAGGTAGTAAGCGGCACGGATGGCAAAGTCCGTGAAGAACTCGACGTTACGAACGCTGTATGATCGCAATTGAAGGTCGCAGACTGGAAGACCGTACTCCACCTTCCTCCGCAAAGGCCGGAGGTATATGGCTTGCACGCTTCGTGGAAGTCGGCTCTCCTCACCGAAAGCTCCTAACCGTTCGGACCTAACCAAACTGTGAGCGGTGATCTTTGATATATTTTGACACTGAGCCAATTGCCTTGGATACTAACCATTCTTTCACACTAGGCTTAGTAATTTTCTCGGCTTCCGTCGGTCTGAATTATCTCAATTAGCGACAAACCCAAATTATACTAGATTTAAAGAGTATCTTACGTTACCGGAGCAGTCGATGCAGGGGCGGTAGCGGCGGGGGTAGCGGCGGGAGTCGCGATGGGAGTAGCAGCAGGTGTAGGGGCCACAGGGGTAGCTTTCGCAGAAGCAACTGGTGCAGGGGTCGGTGTTGGGTCTTGAACGGGTGTCTTCTCTTGCTCCGGCGGAGTTGGCTGGGACGGGGATGATAGAGGGCGGAATGGCACAGGGGCCTTCCAAGGAGGTGTTAGCGAGGAAATTGTGAATCAAATAAAATGAGAACATACCCTGAGGCGCTTGCTCACTCCAATTAAGGAGCGCGATGTGTATGAGAACATTGTTAATCGTGATTTTGAGGAAGATCCGTTGTTGTTAGCGGATGGGTTTTTTCGGGGAGCGAGTCCAGGGCGGTGAGTGTGGAACTTGGATATAGAAACTACGGTGATATATCTATTATACCTAGTATATTATTATACTATTGATATAATAATATAAAGAAAAAGGCAATTAAGCCAGCTTATAGGGGTTGATAAATAATATAATTATGATTAAAATGAGTGTGTGCAACCAATTCCATATGTTATACTCCGTACTCCGTCCTGTCTATATAGATACATATGCATGTTCCCTCGTAGGTGATCAACTCCCTTACACCAGGCTTTGAGATGAAACATTCGGTTGAATGAGTTAGTACATAGGTAGACATGTTTATCCTCCAAGGCTGCTTATCTCAAATGTTTTCTATGAATCGGATCATTGCAACCCCCGCCAAACTAGCGATCTGGGCAATGGAACCATGTGACTCCGCACTTGGAACCATCGCTTCTTCTTCTTTTTTTTTTTTTTTCTTTCACGCATCCTACTTTTTACTTGATATATATTCTACTCCTTTCAGTGTATACGATACCGACTCCTGCAAAAATGACAAAAATAGACCTGTCCTCGTTCGAGCGGGCTAACGAAGCAGTCTCTTATCTCAGAACCAAGTTGCCAGAGACCCTGCAAAAGCCCCAGGTTGCAATTGTATGTGGCTCAGGACTAGGAGGGCTTGCAGATACTATTCAACCCGAGTCACGAATTGAATTTGATTATGCATCTATCCCCCACTTCCCTCGCTCAACAGGTTGGTTATCTTTTTCAGGCTCAGGGCGGAGGTTCTAACATTCCACAGTCGTTGGTCATGCTGGGAAGCTGGTTTTTGGTCTTCTCGGCCAGAAAATCCCTGCAGTGTTGATGGTTGGCCGTGCTCAGTCAGCTTAAGCCCCCATTCTGCTTGTAATATCACAGCTGACCTGGCCTAGTTACTACGAGGGGCACTCGATTGATCAGGTGGCATTCCCAATTCGAGTGTTCAAGCAGTTGGAAGTGAATACGGTTGTCTGTACGTTCTACATGATGCTTAACAATGTGAAGATTGACGTTACAGAACGAGGATTAATGATGTTTGGTAGTGACCAATGCGGCCGGAGGTTTGAATTCTGAGTATGCTGTGGGGGATATCGTTCTATTGAATGATGTAGGAGGAACCACCATCCATCAAAGATATCGAGCTGAGTTATTCTAACAACGAATTACAGCATCTCTTCCTCGCAGGTCTGGCAGGAACTCATCCATTGAGAGGAGCCAATGAAGATGAATTTGGAGTGCGATTCCCACCTCTGTCTGACGCCTATGACCTTGAGCTCCGTCGCCATGTGCATCAGTCATGGAAGAAGGTCATCTCACCGGAAAGCAAGAGAAAGTTGCACGAGGGTGTATATGCATTTTGTGGAGGCCCCACGTAAGTCACAATCAAAATTCCTTTGGTATACGATTCTGATAGCATCAAGCTACGAAACAAGAGCCGAAAGCCGGATGCTTCGAATGCTCGGTGCCGATGTGGTTGGAATGTCTACAGTACCGGAGATTGTCACCGCCAGACATTGTGGCATGCGAGTGCTTGCTTTCAGTTTGGTCACTAACAAAGCCGTGTTGTCTCCTGTGCCTCGCGGAGATGACGATTTGCTTCAGAACAAAGCAGCCGGTGAACTGAGCGCTCTTCTAGAAGAGGGCATGGCAGGACACGAAGAGGTTCTTGAAGCTGGCCGCGCGGCGGCCATTGACATGCAGGTAAGATCGTTCTATCAATCCTTGGAAGATAGCGAAATTGACATCGATCTAGAAACTGGTTGTCGAAACCCTTGTGGATGTCTTTGATAGCGTTTAAGACTGGGCTTGACACACAATGAATCTCTCAGATCGTGACGATCGGGGTCTAGCTTATTAGGATAATAGCGTAGGCCATTTTTGTTGAGATGTCGGCCATGGCCAACAGGGGGGTTTTGCCACACCTGGCATAGTTTGACGAAAGTAGAGACGGAAATTTCACTTATTCTTCCGGGTTCTCTTTGCCTGCAGGTCCTTGTAGAAGGACTTCTTTCCGCTTGATTTGTTGGCTTGAATGTCCCTGTATTTGGCCTGGAAGCGCTTAGTGCCACGCTCAAGTGCCAATGTTTCCTCGACAAAGTTCTTCTTGCGGTCCTTCTTGGTGATACGATTGCTGAAGAACTCGGTAGGGCCCTCAATGATGGTTCCAACCTGGGAATATTCTGGCGGTTTGGCCTTGCCATTTTCCTTCTTATAGTGACGCTTGGGGTCAAGCACAGAACGCATTCGGATGAGCTGCAGATCTCTCTTAAGCTCTGGGGTCATTTCTGTCTTGGGGAGGTTGAACCACTCAGGTCCAGCAGTGGGCTTGTCCTATCAAAGGTGAGGATTGTTAGCAATTGCCCACAAATATCGCACACCAAGAAAATATAGTAATTGTGATGAATGCTCAGAGTAACTATGAATAAAAAGGCTCTCACTGGTGCAGCACAGCCCAAGACGGACTGGTTACGCCGCATCAAGCGCTTCGCGTTGGGAATATTTTCCTCATAGCAAAAAAAAAAGAAAGAACTGATAGCAAGGAGGTAATTGGGTGACTCACGGTATTAGCTTTCTTGATCTCAATCGCGCGAAGAGAGTTGGCCAACTCCTTCTGTTTTTGATCAGTGATCTTTGTAGCATCAACAATAGCAACATCATCTCCCTGGCGAATGTATGATTCCAGCGAGGACCCAGGTGACAATTTTGGGATCCTAGGGGAAGATTAGCCTAGATCCTAGCATATCAATCTTAAAAAGGTTCCCATACCTGATAGATGCCAGATCATCAGTCTGGTTGCTTAACGCATTGGGAGCCTTCAGTCGAGTCTCTGCCTCGAGAAGCAACTGCTGAATCTGATCATCAGTCAGGTCTTCCTGAACATCCTTCACACATGTTGAGTCAGCCATCCCTGGTGAATAGGGAGGGTAGCAAAACAAGAGGAACAAGAGGTTTAAGGTGAGTGGAGAGAATTTATATTTTTTCTTAGCTTTGCTTGCTCCTTCCCGGGGCCGGAAAAACGTTTATGAGAAATTTCTGCTTAGTGCGAGAGTGGAGTGGAGTCATGTGATTTCCAATACTTAAAGTAACAGTATCTGGTACTAACAGAAACGCCTGTCATATTATAGAAACAATAAGTATCCAGTACTTACTGCTAAAGTACTACCTGAATGGTACAGCTCATGTATTAAAAGTCATAGACCCCGAGGGATTCACCTATCAGAGGTATTCAACTAAATATTCCTAGGTTATATATATTTATTATATATACCTTCTACTATTTCAAATTAGACCTGACTATATGCAAGAGAAACCTATATTACCATCTTAAATATAACCCCCCTAATTAGTTATATCATATTCATATCTTGTATATTCCGTAGGTATTATATACATCGAGCTCGGAGAGGGGGCCCCGGAGAACGTCAGACAGCTGAACATCTCTAGCTTGGCACCCAACGCGCCTTGAGAACACAACAAGCTTCACGTAGTCATTGACTGTGATACTCATCCGATTATTGTTTTTATATTGAGTCCATTCCTTCTTTGTTCTTATATCCTCCACCCCGCCTCACCATCTCACACCCGGTCGCGTCGCACCCTCTCGGTCCCTCCAGTGCACCTCCCCGACACACCCCAGAGCCCCATAAAGCTCAACCTCAAAGGCAGCATGGAACAATCTCCTCAAGGCTCTGCGCAGCAGGGCAGACAACAGCCGCAGCCGATTTATGATGTTAGAAATGGAGGACATTATGGTAAGTGCCAACTTTATCATTGCGCCGAAGCTACGCGCCCAAACTACGCACCGAGGTCCGTTAAAGGGCTACTCTGCTGGCTTGGTTGCTACCTTTTGGCTAACTTGATTGATTTGAATGGAGACTGACAGGAGCCACTATGTATAGGTGCTAGCGCAGCGGTATGTCCATCGCGATGAGCCGCGCGGGCCTTACCTTCACTCTATGATGATCGCGCGAATTGTCTTGAGTAGCAACTAATCAAAGTTGGGTTAAAATATAGCTCTCAGCGCAAGGCTATGCGCCAGTTGCCGAGTTGTACACTGGTACCTGGGCCAACGTAAGCTCCTGAGATAGCCAGTCACATATCGAGCTTTGATACTTACCAGAACCAGGTAAACCAAGGCCTTCAAGGAACCGCGCGTGATATCCTGACGACCTACTGGCAGCATGTCATTAATCACCTGGAATCAGACAACCACGACTACAAGATCCACCAGTTGCCATTGGCCCGTATCAAAAAGGTGATGAAGGCGGACCCGGAGGTCAAGATGATATCCGCAGAAGCACCCATCTTGTTTGCTAAGGGCTGTGATATTTTCATTACCGAGCTGACTATGCGTGCCTGGATTCATGCCGAGGACAACAAACGTCGTACCCTCCAGCGATCCGATATTGCCGCCGCTCTGTCCAAATCGGACATGTTTGACTTCCTCATTGATATAGTTCCCCGCGAGGAGGCAACTTCTCATGCCAAGCGGTCGAGTCAGGCTGCCGGTACCGCCCCAGGACCTTCTGCAGCCCCCGGTCAACTGCCCCCTGCCCCGCATGGAGTCCAACCACACCAGCACATGGGTCCTGCCGATTACGCCTCCCTTGGCCAACACGGTATGCCTCAGGACCAGGAGTACCGCCCACAACCTGCCATGTACCCCGGAGCCGTTCAATCAGACCCAACTGCGGCATATGGTCAACCTCAATCCCAAATGTTCGAGGGGATGTATGCCTACCCACATCTCCCTCCCCAGCAGGTACGTATTTGTCATATGTCTCATCTTCAGCAGACAAGCTAATTTTGATCCACAAGTGAATGTAATGTGTCATCGGCACATGGTCCAGTCCGTCATTTCAATTTAGTTCATGCGCGTTTCAAGGCGAATTTTGGTCCGTTTTCTTTTTGTTTCTTACTGTTCTTATTTGATACTTTTATTATTTTAGTTTCTCACACAAGGCAAAGACAATGCTCTAGAAGTGGTGATTAAGCGACTCCTGGTATTTCTGATCTTTCGGGTTCTTCCATGTGCGGAATGAGTGCAGGTTTTGATTCTGGTTAGAAAGAGGAAAGAAACCACATATGGCGTTCTGAAGGTTGTGTGTGGTTCACTATGTTGATACTGGTATCCATGTATGTTCCCATTTCTCGTACAGCTCTTGCAGTAAGCCGAGGTTACAATCTCAGAGACAAGAGATATTCTTACACAGTCCGAAGTCGTTGTATATGGCCTTTTTACTAGCTCTGGATATGGCAGGTATGTTTCTAGCAGTGTTTCTGTACTTAGGCTTCTAACAGGTCCCAAGGGTACTTCATTGTTGTAGTGAAACATTGTATTATAATTTATCCAGTCTTCTTGAATCGTGATGAAAGAGTTGCAAACTTATCCGTTTTGGTGGGAGCTTGAATACTACGTGTAAGCCTATTCGTGACGAGTTAGCAGGTAGTTCACGGTAATGAGATGTAGATTTCGAACTGTACTTTTCGAGCAGAATGGGCCCTTGCATGGCATCGACACGTCCATATTTCTTGTTCCTCGTGGAAATGTCGTAAAACTCGTCTGCACTGTCTGCTTGCATCAACTGCACGGTTTGCTGTAACTCGTCAAGATTCTCGCGAAGAATTGGGACATTTAAGCTGTCCACAAATTCGGCGAGATATTCAACATCTTTTGCTAATGCTGCCACTCCGTTGGGATTGATTTTCTTCACATCTGGGGACAATGGTTGCGCCTGTATGGTCAGTCAGTCTCTGTTTCAACGGATTGGGGTCCTTAGGAAACTCACCAGAATCATGTTTGCAGCATGGCTAAGGGCATCAAAGTAGATGAGCTCTTTGATTTCCGTCGGCAGACCCAACAATGTGGAGTTCATGATGTTAGACAAGAATCGAGTCAAGGTTTGCATGTAATTGCTCGGCTCTGTGGGAGGTGTGGGGGACATCCACTCGTACTCTGCGGTCTCGATAAGGTCATCGATTTTGGAATTGACTACCTCGAAGATACGCTTCTCGGCTGCCTTCTTGTTGCTTTTGAACTTTTCAGTAGCCTTCAGCGCGATTGAGGTGCCGGTGGAGTTCTGTGATCGGGCAGCTGCCAGTAAGAGCTCCAGCTCGCGGCAAGCTAATTCGAAGTGTTCCAGGTTAATAAGAATTTGAACGATTTGGCCTAGATATTGCGAAGAAAGACGCTCCACTAAGGTGTCGCAGACCTTTTGTGAAAGGAGGTCATCCAGATCCTGCTAGGTTAGTTGTCAAGTCATGGGTCTTGAGTGTGTTGGTTCGAACTTACATTTTTCAGTGTCTCATCAATCACATTTGTATTTGTGAAACCATCATTTGCGAAGAAATAGAACTGGTTCAAGAAATTCCGAATATCAATACAACACAGCGGATACATTCGGGAAAATGGTAATATGCATGGGAACCTAAGCCAATGGTTAATTAGGTTTGAATACGGACCAATCGGCCTAGCCTGATTCACAACTTACACTTGTTCCTCACGAGGTTGTTCGGGGCTGTACCAGCTAACATTGAGGACCTTGTCATGCTCCTCTTGGGTCTGGATAGGCATGGGCATATAATCATCCGTTGATACAATCTGGCACTGTCAGCATTTAAGATGGCTTGATAGGGAGAAAATAGCCCTTACCTCCTGGAAATCATCACTGAATCTCTTCTTCAGAAGTTCGGCATATTTGCCAAAGAGTGTCAACAAAAAGTCATCAAAGACCCGCACGGGGAAGTTCCACGTCTGTCATATGGACATCAGCTTTTCGAGGCCAAGATAATAGAGATGGGGCCTACACACGTTCATCGTCTGCATGAATAGAGCAATCAAATTCTTGATGTTGAGAATGCTTTCAGCGTTGTCGACTTCATGCAGTGCTTTCGATATCAACACTACAGCCCCCTGGCACATCGAATCCCAGAGCTCGTCGATCTATTTAGAGGCATGGCATGGGTTAGATAATTCCTGGAGCGCTCCCCATTGAAAAGAGAACAAAGGGAAGGGAAGATGGTTCCTTACATCGACAGATGACCTGAGATCGGGGGCTCTTTTCATTGTGGCCCGTTCAACAATGGCAAATCCGGCCATCTCTTCCAAGAGATTGTGCAGGCTGGAACCATCTTCATCAACAAGGGTGATGGAAGATGGAAGCAAGAGTTCCTTTTGTCTTCGGCGGGTGGTCGCGTATTCAATTCGGAATTTATCCATATGTCCCAAAGATTGATGAATATGCAAGCACTCGAACAGCGGGGTGAAGTCAACTTGAAGATCTTCATTCTGGAGCAGGTCATATTCTTCGTCTTCATCAGACACCAATTCGATCGCGGAGTTTAAATTGAAGTGCTCTAAATAAGGAATTTTTTCTGCTCTTTGTTTTTGTCGGGTTTTCCGCTGGTCTGTGTGGAAGAGCGCAATTTCCCCGAGGTATTGAGACATTTCTCGGATGCGATAAAGCCAGGTGTTGAGATCTGACATCACTGCTTCCGCGATAGCTCTCTGTGTCGCTGGAACTGAGCGCTGTATCATGACTGCAATCTTGTATTGCGTCACCCCCTTGAGATGGACATTTTGCAATTCCTCCAGTGCTCGCAACGCGGCGTAGTGGTTCTTCTTTGCCAAGAGGTCATGGACTTGGTTGGCTAGACGCAGTACCTCCAAACAATCCTGAATGGCACGACTGGTCTCATCGATGTTCTGTCGGTGGCCACGCGACTCCACCAGTGCTTTCTTCTGCTCGGCTAGGCGTTCGGTACTTGTTTGAATAGATTGATTCAAGTCCAGAATCTCCGCTGTCAAGCTCACTGTCCCCTCTCGAATTCGAAGCAGTGAATTGACAGACGAGACAAACTCCTGGTGATTTGTGTTGCATATGCTTTCGATCTCGGACTCCTTGTCGCCCGCGAACCGGGACAGTGACTGCAGGAGTTGTGGAGTGCGGTTCCCAACACTGTAATCTCTGATTGAGGGAATGAGCTGATCCAGATAGTCTGTGTCAGAGGGGGAGATGATAATCTATGGACAAGTAGTCAGTTTTGTTTAGGTACTCCAACGTGTATAGGCTGGCTCACTTGGTTCAAGACATGTGGCTCATTGAGCATTGGAGCCATGGGTGGCATAATGGCTCAGCTTCATAGCCAGAGGGAAGCCCAACAGTTTCAACTCTTCCGACTTGTTAGGCTTGCAACCTTATTCAGGATAACGATCTCAAGCTTACCTAGGTATAGGTACTCGTTGACGTTCACAGGCGGTCAGATGTTCGATCTGCCATCCAAGTGCTTGACCGCTTTCAATAGGCTAATCCCACTTTGTGCTAGCGTCATCACTAGCGTAAACCTTGACCAATATCAAAGGTACAACATACAACACCTGCGCAAGACATTCTTCTTCCAATAGTGTTTCTAAGATCATCCCTCCTTTTCCTTTTCTACATAATGTCCGGGTTCATTGTTCATTGTTTAACATCTTTCTCTTATGGCTTCATCAATCTTTTCAGCAGCTGAGAGACCGTGAGAATAACATGTCTGATCACCACCTTTATTTATACAGTAAGACAGAGCAGTGATCACTCTGCTAACCAGCAACCTTGAAACCACTCATTGAGAAACATATGGATCTAATAAGAGTTATATACTCTATGATTGGTCTGTAATCGTGAAGAAGCCCCTGCCATGACCCTTTTACTATGACACCATTGCTGACATAGGATCACAGCGAGCCATTCCATCGGGCTAAGCCGTATGAAGGCATGGTAGAGACACTACAAGATTGAATGCAGCTAGATAACTCTACTATCTGATACCTACCCCAGTGACCAGATGAATTCTCAGTCGCGCGGTCACTTGGTTGAGTGTTTTACCCTGTTGGGCTCGTTGAGCTATGGTTGGGGTCTTAATGACTCGACGGGTCGTTTGCACAATCGCATCGTTTTATTGGACAAGTTGAAATATTTCTACAAGTATGAGTCGGCCTTGAAATATAAAAGCCTTGATTTATTCTTTCGCCAACGATTTCTTTCTTTTATTTTCCTCCGCGTGATTTCTCCAATCTGTCGCTACAATAGTAGCACCAAGCAACATTGCGATATCGCGCCCCTCGCTGAATAGGTCATTCAACTTCCTAATTTGTATGTGGACTTGTCTTTTAATACGACCTCCGGCTCTCTCGGCTTACCTTCTCATTACTTCAGAATTGAACATGGAGGGGTTTTCTCCAACTCGAGGATCGCCGTCGGAGCAGCTTACTGCATTCAACCCAATGGGGTATGACGCTTTTTCCAACCGAGCAAACCCTGCCCCGTTCCCTGGAATGGAGACAATTCGTCCGACTGGGTAGTTATTTGTCGTCTTTTTATACATTAAAGATCAAAAGCCCTAATACGTTAATGCATTACAGTGACCCGTTTGCCTGGTCCAATGAGACAGGGTCCACGCGCGTTCTCTCATCTCAAACCACCACTGCAACCTCTGGTTCTTGCTATGCCTATCCAGTGCCGTCGACCCTTGACCAGGCGAACACTCAGTACCAGAGCTCGTCTGTTTCGCCTCAGCTGACTCGCACAATTAACGCAGCTCACTATGCAATCGGTCAATCCCAGTTCCCTTCGGCTTCTACCCAGGTATCTCCTAGCGCTGGTCCTGGTGGAATGCGATACTCGCCTTCCCATGCCCAGGCATCCCGGTCGCTTCCTCAAATGCAATACTCGCCTCATTTTTCGACTCATGCTCAGGCACATCTAGGAGCATCTCAGTGCCCGCTCTCTCCTGTTCAGACTGCTATTGCCAACGCTCGGTACTCACCATCGCATGAAGAAATCAGTTATGAATACACCCCGACCCCGGATTTCATATCTAGTTTGTTCGCAGCCACTCGCGATCCTGCAGTTGGAAACATCACCACCTCCAACAATGCGCTGGTCCATGCTTCCCCCGAAACCCAAGCTGGTCGAACTGGTACAACCGACTTATCTTCACGATCGCTTTCCGGTGGAACTCATGATGTTACCGAGAAGCATCGAAGCTTTATCGTGCACAATGTCTCCCTCGACACCACTCACCGATCTATTGTTATGATGTTCCCCGTAAGTTGCAATACCGACCTGGTCATGGGAGATATTCAAGCTGACATTATAAGATTGATGAATATCCTTCCCTCGAGGATGTTTGCCTCAAGAAACTCGAGGCTGAGGGCATGTTCTCATTTTCTTTCGGCGACCTTCGAGAGGCCATCCACGCCATGAAAAAAATCCGCCTCACTCGCCCTACATGGCGCGTCTTCCCGGCTAGTTGCGAAGAAATTACCAATTTCAAGGGAACCAGCAGATCCAAGGGAGTCGCCTCGTCTAGCTCTGTTCCTCGGGATGGCACATTCTTGCTTTCTGTGTACACCATCCCAAGCCAGTGGCTCATGGAACCTATGGACGACGTTGTTCAACATGTCGTCGCTTCCCTTGGCACCCTGCGTTCTTGCAAGCTTATCCAGAATGGAACGAACATGAGTCACTACCAAGTTGAATATTTCAACAAGCGTCATGCGACCTATGCTTTTTCTTGTCTTGCTGGGTTTAGGCTTGAAGTATCCTTTTTTCTTTCCCTCTCCCCCCTTTTTTTAATATTTTTTTGTGTTTGACGGTAGAATGCTAATAATTTTTGGTGCAGAGTCTTCATTTCAATGTCTTTATTGATGCGCAAGAAGAAATGCCTGTTTTGCCTCATCTTCGAACCACCAGCTTTGGCTCCCCTCAGAGCCCAGTGACGCCCTACCACCTCGTGTCCAAGGAGAACGAGACCGAGGAGAAGGTCGACGTTTCCCCAGCTTCTGAAGAGGGTCAGACGAGTGCAGAACATGCTATTAACCTTGACCGAATCAGGCAAGGACTAGACGTTCGCAGCACTGTAAGTTTTCTTCCAACTGCTGCAACACCAATATCTCACATATTGTCTGTTACAGGTCATGATCCGCAACATTCCCAACAAAATAACATCGGTATGATTATCTCCATCTTTTTTCTCATGAAAATCTTCAATGCTGATTCCATCTGATCATTTAATAGGACCAGTTGAAATCCATTCTTGACGAATCCAGCTATGGGAAGTATGACTTCCTTTACCTGCGCATGGGTAAGTGCTTCTCAATTTATTCGCTCATTCGGACTACGCTAATTCGATCTCTAGATTTTACCCATCGTTGCAAGTAAGTTTTGATTGTTCATTGTTGGTTTTCAATGTTACTTATCCTTTGTCTTTCTAGCGTTGGTTATGCGTTTATGAACTTTGGTGATGTGAGTGTTTGCTGGATCTACTTTCGTCCCATGTCCCTTTCCTTCCATGCCCCTTTCGTCCAATATTTTACTAACATAGTCTACAGGCAATTGACATTGTGAATGTGAGTTATACCATGGGTCAGTGTGTGACATTTACTTACCAGTTTCGCTTAGCTCGTACACGCTCGACAGGGCAAGACTTGGTATGTTCCTCCCCATCTCCCGCAGAAAAGTGCACGTTCGCTGACTCGAGACAATTACAGGCCCGACTGCATCTCCGAGAAGAGGGCCGAGGTTTCTTATGCCAGTTTGTGTCCCATCTGTAGTTAAAGGGAATGTCTTCTAACAAGTTTCAAATAGCACTCCAAGGAAAGGAAGCTCTCGTAAATAAGTTTCGCAACAGTAACGTTATGACCCGTCCTCACGAAGAGCGACCTCGAGTGAGTTTAATCCTTTTTGTCATATTCCGGTGCTGGTATTGACTGAATCCAGCTTTTCCATATCGATGGCCCACGCGCGGGCACCGAAGCGGCTTTCCCTGGTCCCAATGATGCCAGTAAGCTCCGTCGTTCAGTTGCCAGCACTACTCAGCAAGGTAATATATCGTGCCCTTTGGCCTGTGGACATGATCTGACCCTTTCACAGGCCTCTTTGCACCTCGGAACCGAGCTCCCACTACGCCTCGCGCCAACCGTACGCGGCCCCAGTCTCAGTCCTTCAGCCAGACTCCGCGAGGTCGACCATCAATTCGCACTCCCCGGCATTCCGGCGGACGATCGGTCCAGCATGTCCCTGGCGAATTTTCTTCGATGCAGGCAGAGGACCGTCAATTCCTCTCGCAGAGAAATTAATCTTCATCGCGTTCTCTCCTTGCCATCAATCGAATGTTTTTCCACACATATGGACTGGTCTTTCGAAGAAAAAAAGAAAGAAAGAATTATCTGACAATCCATCTTTGTCTGTCGAACACAAACGCGCTTAGGATCCTTCTCGTCGAGCGCTAGGGGGGAAATTGAATATCATCACGAATCATTTTCGAGATATTCAGCCCCTCCCACCCCAAGATCAGTGTTCCCCAGGCCGATGGGGAAAAAAAAAGATGAAAAATCAAAAATCAACAGCTCAACAGCTCAATGCATCTCAACAGAAAGATACTCGATACGTACAGAATGAACGCCACACTGTGAAAAGGCTCTTGCACAGTATGCTTGACCTTTTTCTGTATCACAACAAAATGACTCATTCACAGGCATCCATGCAGCGACTACCACTACGGAAGGTAGAGTTCCTCGGAATAGCTGGCACAATCCTTGCTACTCTGCTATGAGTTTCGCTTTTGTATCGCACATTTCGAAGAAACCGATTCAATATTTTTATTCGGGAATTGTGCCATTAATTGCTTCTGCTTTTTTCTGCTTTTTTCTGCTTTTTTCCTGCTTTTTCCTGCGTTTTCTGCTATTTTTATTGCTTTTTTTTCGAAAATTAGGAAAATCCAAAAACATTGGGGATGGAGTCCAATGAAATGAATTTTTTTTTTGTTTTTTTTTTTGTTTTTTTAGTAATAAAGAGTGCTATGTAGATAGAGTATATAACCTTGACTGTGTAGGCAATAAAAAGTAAAAAAGTACGTCGGGAAAACCCACTTTTCAACTTTTCCAACATCTCACAACATAAACAATATGGACAATATAGAGGATATCCTGGCAGTCCACTCAATGCTGCATCTGATCTTTCATCGCAATAAGAATCAGCATCGTCGAACTAAATGGTGGAAATGGCTATCCATCTTGAAACGCGCCACCTTGGACCTCGCCCGATCGGGGGTAAAATCCCACCTGGTCACTATAATCCCAAGATGTTACATGTATGAAAAGGAAAAAGAAAAGAAAATTACCTGGAACATTCAGGCTAACTGTTCTATTAGCGCCTTTTCAACTGTCGTTGCCGATAACCAGTTCTCTACCCTTGGAATCGTGCTGTTGGCTGCGTTGGCGCGATTAAATAAAATCACCGGAATCAGTCAGCTGAAGATGCAACCTGTGACAAGCAAGTCCAAGATTATTCCTGTCGCAAAAGAAGATATTGGGGAGCGTATTCTTCGGATTGACAATGCGCCACTCACTCCGGTCAAGGTTTCCCAGTCTGATTCCAAGATCTCCAAGGCCTCCAAAGCGAAGCCCACGGAAAAGTTTACAGAGGATGGTGTTTCAAAGAGTACATCGAAAAAGAAGAAGAAGAAGAAGAACGCTATCGATGATCTATTTAGCGGTTTATTTTGAACCTCATACCCCTTTTATGTACGGTGCTTTCTTTTCTTTTCGTTTCTTTCTTTTTTCTTTAAATGGAATCCAAGGGATGTCCAGGCATGTATTTCTAAGCTAAAATATTGTTTTATGAATAATGACATCGAGACCGAGATCGAGAGAAAATAACCTCGCCCAGTAAATTGACAGCAACATGATTGGCAGTAGCCCACGCCATACTGTAGAGGTATTTAGGGGAGAAAACGGTCCAGATGAAAAGATGCGTTCGGAGGGCTGTACAGGCGGCCATGACAGAAACCAAGGACATGGCAACATGAAAGGTCAACAGTGCCGAGGGGTTTTGTTCTGCAGGATTCCTCGGCCGGAGACGATGGCTCTGTGAAGCCCACCAGATAGGTCCTGCCCAGTTGCTCGCGAAGGTGAGAACCCCCACTAGCACCACACTGTAACTGTCAACACCGTTATACCCACTGGCAAGGTCCACAGAGGAGATCGCATTGGAACCGCCAAATGCGAAGAATGTCATATATTGGAAGATCAAGGTTGTGATGGTCACTTCGATCCCTGTGAGGTTCATGGAAGAGAGAATGCCTGCCTGGATTCGGAAAATCAGAAACAAGGGGACGTTGGTGGCACGGGACTGCGTCATTAAGAATATGTGCAGAGCTTCATGAATTGTATCGTGTGCTAAAGAATTATGGTCAGTAATCACTCCAAGCTCAGACCCAATCTGGGGCATGTGTGGACTTACCTCGGGAAACCCTTGACCGATTTCCAACAAATAGCGTTAGCAAGACAACGCTAGCAAGTCCATAAAACACAAGCCTGGCATGTAAAACCAATGACAGACTGTAGGGCCATTCCTTCGTGATTTGGGAGATGAACGTCCCATCGAGGAGTTCGGGGGATTCTGAAGTCACAAAGTGCAATTTGAATGTAAAGGCCAACACGGCAGGGGCCAAGGCACCAAGCTTCAATATTCCAGTGATTGGTATATTCTTGAGAAGATGACGACCAGCATCCACGTAGGTTAGGATAAGAAGACCCCAGAAGATCTCTGGATGGCGTGCAAAGAAGGTGCGAGCAATATCAGGCTCGGCCGCGAATTTCTGTCCCGTTTGGTTCCACCGTCGCAATAGTCGCTGGGTGATTGCAAGCACAAGAATCATGCATTTGTCAGACCAATATACTAATGACCCAAAGCGTTTGCGTAAGATCGGTTTTGCAGATGATTGAGATTGCGATTTGATATGCAGGTAGACAACCCACCCCGAGCAGATCCAATACCAGAACTGTTGCTCTTCTTCCACATAGCTACTCGCAAACATCATCATCCCACAGGTGATGATCATGAGCATCAAAAACATCCCGGACGATCCGTGACGCGCGCATTCCTTGTATGTGGCTGGAAGTACAAGCATGCCTGCAACTCCCGTGATTAACAGGCCCAAAGTGAGTCTGGAGACATTGTAGTTACTAGCAGTACGGCTCATGACCTCCTGTGCAATTCTTAAGAACTGCAACAAAGCGGGGCCGGCCGTAGAGTAAGAATCATCTGCGGCGTCCCTGCCAGAGAGAAGTTGCTGGACTCGGGCCCAAGCACATCGAGCTCCCTCAATACCCGATAGAACCCCTGAAGGACAGGATTCAGTACTATGGGGGCCAAATGTAAATCCAGGGAATGTAGTTGTCAACGTGTTTAGCAGTTGCTCGGCATTTTGATATAAGATTCGAACTTTATGAGAACCTATTTCCGAGTCAGTTCCTTGTTATCTTTCACCTGGCCGCGGTTAGAAGAAGAGCGCATACCATGATCCCACATCTCTAAAAAGTCTGGGATGAATACACCAAGACTGTTTAAAGGAATTGGAATACCAAGAAGCCCCGCCAAGGTTGGAGCAATATCCGCTTGCTCAACCGTCTGGTAGTATTGCATATCGCCTGACGGTTCCATAGGGCTTTCTCTTCGGCCACCCAAGCGTTCAAACTTGGGTGACATGAAAAGCAATGCGGGGGACGTTTCTCCAGCAGAGGACCCGCCGTGGTTTCCAGCCTCATTCATGCCATGATCTCCGCACAACACGAAAAGTGTAGATTGAAGATGGTCTTGTTGCTGCATTGCGGTATAGATTTCAGTCACCACAGAGTCCATCTCATGCTGTTTCGGTATCATGAAGGGACTAGGATTAGCGGTTAGAGAGTAGCTAATAAGGAGATAGGGAGCTGCAGTTACCTTTTCGGGCCAGCCTTATGTCCTATGTGATCCAGACCTAGGTAATGCATGATCAGAGCAGACCAGTCATCCTGGGCAAGCTCGTGAGGAACGTGTCGAGTCACATTATGATCTACTTCTGTGAAGTCCTGCGACAAGAATCTCAGTTTCAATACTAATACTGCGGATACACAAACATCTAAAGTACAACTGACCGAAACGAAGAAGCTTGTAGTTCCATCAGCTCGGTCAAACATCCCCGGGAAGAGCTTGAGCCAGGTGTCGTCCCCGTACATCACAAGCCGTCCTCCTGTGGCCTTTAATTGCGCCAACCAGGTGTCCTGGTATGCCAGTGTTGATGTGGTATCTGATTCTGCGATGTTGAGAATAACATCTAGAAAAGACGGAACCGAACCAGTTGTGATGGCTTTCAATCGAGGCATTGTAACAGTCGGAGCGCTCGCATAGGCAGTGAATGGCAATGCAGCACCAGACCGGATCAAGCTAGTATCAAATCAGTCACTGATTTCGAACAATCAAAGGTTGGATTTTGAAAGTGACACTTACCTTTGTGTAAACAAGAAACCGGAGTCGTTTGAATATACAAAGTCGCTATGTGAACACCTCGTTAGTTATCGGTATAGCTCGGAGGTGTATTATTCAAATCATACCTCCTTAGTGCATCGACCACCATGAAGATAACTTTATCAAAGACCGCAGGTGCTGGGACATTCTCGCCTGTTTCATCAAAAGTCGCTAATCCAGGGATCAACGGTTTATAAGGGAAGAATCCGGAAGAGAAGGTCAGTATGCCCACGGGCACTAGCAAATTGGCAATGACCGTCGCCCAGCTGCGAAAGCCCGCCATTTTGCAAATTGACTTGGCGTTAGCTCTCTGGCAGGACAATTTTATGTAAAGAACCTCAAATCAACTGCACATGTCGAACTGTCTGGAGGATCCCAAGCGGAGGCAGAATCGTGTTGATGATCGACGCGCATCACCACACCGCCTTGTTGAGTACCCTTGATGTTGTAGTTATATTGTACTATTATACGGAGGAGTATACATCTATACATTTACTTCACAATTTAACCCCTCCATTCAATATAGAGATTTAAAGTGCTGGATGAAGGTATCAATTAGCTTCTTGATCTTAACTAGGGTTGCTTGTCAGTGATTTGAAATTATAGCAACCTATATCAAACTCCCCCGGCCACACTAGGGTTGTTTTTTTCTTCTTTTTCTTTTCCACCGATCAAAATCCAAGTAATATCTCAAGCCTTTAATGAAAGGTATGGTATATCAGGCGCAGACTATGAAACATATGTACGTGAATCGCAGGTGTAATTGTGGACTCCCAAACGCCTTTTTTTTTTCTTCTCCGCCACACCATCTCGTCAAATAATCCATTCATTGCCCCTCACTCGGCGCACACGCCTCACTTCCTCTTGGGTCCCTTCTTGGTTGTAGATAGACGCTTTTGGAAGACAATCGAGTTGCGAGGCTTCTGGTTGCGCTTTTGCACACGTGCCTGCTTCTTCTTAGAGCTCTTAATTGTGTCGATATCCATCTCTGTGTTGGGAATGTAAGCGTTCTGTAGTTTAAGACCCAAAAAAATGTGCGATCTAAAACTTAAATTGCCATAGACTAACCTTCACTGTCACCAGTACGGGCCTTGGCTGCTTCGGCTAATAGAGCATATGAGGTGAGTCGGTGTCCTTGAAAAATGAGGGTAGTATATACATACCAGCCTCGTCCTCAGCTAGGTCCATCTTTGATTTCACAGGGACTTCAGGTCGTGGCTGTGATGCAAGCTCCTGTAGTTTGGCAGCAAGTCTCTCAGTTCTGGCATCGACCAGTGGGCCAAAGACCTTCTTGCGCAGGTTGGCTCTGTTGCGCTTGGAAACGCTGGCTCGGACACTTTTCGCCATTGTATGAGGATAAGAGGGAAGGGAAACAAGGGCAAATAAGTTATCAAGACTTGAGATTAGAGGATGAAATGATGTCTGGGGTGGGAAATAAAATGGGTTACTGATAACACAATCAACTTTTTTTTCCCACGATAGCGCTCGTCTTATGTCATCCGGAGAGCGCACTTCCCAAGTTTCACCTCCGAAGCCTTGTCGACCTTGACCTCACCCTTTTGTGACTGGGGTTAGTGACCTTTCCCTCATATTTCACTCCAGTCAAGAGATGTATCGATGCAGAGCCCTTACAATTGGCCTGGCTGAATCGGACCCTTGTCTTTCGAGGAACCCTGAATCAAGTCCACCTTGATTGCTTTCGCACTCCTCTTATCTGTAAAGCAGTCATGTCGACCTTGTCGTCAGAGGTTGCAACACTGACAGCCTTCATCAAACCCCTCACAAATCCACAACTGAAGGATTTGTTGAGGTATGAGGGTCTCCAGGTATCTGGGTTGAAGGCAACCCTACAGTTCCGCATTATTCAACGTTCGTTAATTCTCACTCTTGCTATGACTTGTTTGTTCTATCCTGTGCATGCTTTCCAATCTTTGTTTCAGCCATTCTTGCAGAAATCCGTACATTGACCATCAAAATAGGAATCCAATCTCTCGCGGAATCTGACCCTGTCAGTTTCGATGCTCTGGCCAGGCGCATCCGCGCTACTGCTTTCCCCAACACTGTGCCATATCAATCACCCACCAGACCACAATACCAGCCATCGCCTGTCTCTCAATCTCCAGCACAGGCTCGATCTGCACCGCTCGGGGTTTCCATGTCACCTCACCCATACTCCACCGGTCCGAGTGCTCCTCTCATGAAACCTCCTGCGGCTGCT